TCTGCGTTTTTTACTCTTATTTTTGCGATCCATGTGGCGTTGAGTGTTGCTATTCTTCTTCTTGCGTTTGAATGGGGATAAAATCCATTAGTTTGATGATTTCAATGTGGTAAAGTTATCAGAGTAACCTTTTAGTTCCTGCTAGCCGTTTATACTAGTTATTGAGTGGGACGCTTTTAGAATTTATGACCATTATGTTTTTATATGACCATTATGTTAGCACGTACTCGGCTTAAAACGAGGTACTGACACTTTGACCACAGGTAGACCACCCTCCGTTAGTGGGGGCCGTTGTTGATTGAAATCTGAGCAACGATCTTTTGTTATTTATAGAAGAAATACATATGAACAATACGGTGGCTATAATTTGTTCCAAAATGCAGAATTTAAAGCAAATTTTTCAATAATAGTTTGAAGAAAATGTTAACTGAGTCATGTGTCATGTTTTTTTCGCCGTCCCTTGCTGTTTTAAGCTCTATTTTGCGAGATAAATATTTGACCTCGGCGGTTAGAACTAAAGAAGGAGAACCGCCGAGGTCAAATATTCATCTCGCAAAATAGAGCTTAAAACAGCAAGGGACGGCGAAAAAAAACATGACACATGACTCAGTTAACATTTTCTTCAAACTATTATTGAAAAATTTGCTTTAAATTCTGCATTTTGGAACAAATTATAGCCACCGTATTGTTCATATGTATTTCTTCTATAAATAACAAAAAATCGTTGCTCAGATTTCAATCAACAACGGCCCCCACTAACAGAGGGTGGTCTGCCTGTGCTTTGACATTGCCAAAATGGCGTCTATGAACGAATAATAATATTGGCGATTGCCAATTTTTACTTGTAATTGACAATTCGCTCATGAATTGAAAGGAGAATGCTTTGCTGCACGTTTCGTATGAGGCCGTAAGTCGATCCTGCCGTCGAAGCTGATGAAACTTTCAAGGATATATAAATAGGAAATTATTCGTTAGAAAGCCAGAGATAATCTTTTTTTTATAAAACTCCAGGAAAACTCTTACAATGAGAACAATTAAAATAGCACTTGATCAGCTTCTGAGAAAACCCATGGACTTTGTGTTTTTGCGTCGCCATCCAGTAAGGTTGCATTCATTATGTATACTGCAGGGGGGACCGAGGATATTTTTCAAAGGAGCAAAAGTTTTTCATATCCCCCCCCCCCACGTCATACAGAATTTTTTGACATTCTCCCTCTTGAACAAAAGAAAAAATTACAACCCCCCCAGTCTTAATGATGAAAGTAAAATATGGGCATTATGATGAAATGGTGCAGAGAAATGTTTAAAATAGAAAACTAAAAACAAAAGGTAACCGAAGGTTCACAGATTTTAGTATTTCTGTAAAGGGTAAACTATAGAAAGTTGTAAGAGATTGGATTAAGGTTAGCTGTGCCTGACGGGGAAATTGCATACCGGGGCCGTGTGGCAGCTTAGATTCAGTAATAAAATGCAATCATCCTTAGATAGGTAAAATTTTGGGCCTCGAAAAGCAATGAACAAGCCCAAGGGAAAAGAAGACAAAACAAACAAAAAGGCAAGGTAAAAAGCTACACAACTGGTTCTGTAGTGTACAGCGGTTGTATGAGCAAGAGTGCATAGCGTACAGCGGTTGTACGCGCAGGACATACGGGAACTGAACAGTGTGAGCGGGCGTAGAGTGAGTGAGTTGACTTGGTTTTGAGCAGAATAGATGAACGAATAAAGCGTTCAGTCTTATTTGCTTTTGTGGCCGTTAATACTCTGCAAATTGGCGACGAGGATGGCGAATTCGTCGGAGAGAGTGCTGCCTACAATGGATCTGTCTGGTTCAGCTTCAAAAGTAGCGGAAAGGTGGAGGCAATGGAAGAGATCGAATGAATATTACATCGACGGAAAGGGAATAGTAGTATAAGGGGGCATGTGGATGAACAAAAGTGAGGGGACATCGGGGACATCGGGGATACTGGAAAAAACCAGTATCACCAGCAAGTCAGTCAAGTCAATCTGGTCTTTGTTCTGTAACCATAATTTGGTAGACCCGGGACCGATTAACGCAACGACGAACGACGTGTATAAAGTTTGTATTCGAAAACTAGATATGAATGACACGTGTTTCGTAGCATGGCGCCACTGTCAGGAGAATCTGCCGACAAGTTCCTGGTTCGCTTAAAAAAACAAGCAATGCATTGTAATTTTGGCGAGGCTTTAGACGATAATCTAAGGGATCAGTTAATCTAGAAGTTGCCTGAAATCGAGTGGAAGAAGAAACTGCTAGAGGTGAGAAATATTTCGCTTGAAGATGTAATGGATAAAGTTTGTCTGTGGGAACAAGCACGTAATCAAGGAAGTGAAATGACAAACTCAAGTGACGAAACCGGTGTAACTACTAATGCTGTGGGAGTAAAGAAGGCATATAGCAAAACTTGTTTCAGTTGTGGAAAGGAGGGCCACTTCTCTCGTGATAGGAATTGTCCTGCGAAGGGAAGGAAGTGCTCAAAATGTGAAAAAATATGGCCATTTCGCTCGCTTTTGCAAGAATAGATTTAAGCAGCATTCTGCCCAGACAAAACCTTCGAAACAGCCTCCTTCACATCGCCGTGGTCTTAGACAGCCCCTTCATGGAAAGGGAAGAGAAGCCAACCTTGTCGATGAGATTACTCATGTCGAGTGAAGATGATTCATTTGCTGTTACTATAGAAGAACAGTAATGTGCCCTATCAAATGCCAGTGAACCAGTTGTTACTGTGAAGATTGGTGGAATTAGCAAAGAAGTATTAGTTGACTCTGGCTCTGCAAGTAATCTGATTAGCCAGGATGAGTTAAAAAAAAACCCTGCAAAAACCCTGCAAAGTCAAGGATTAAAGATTGAATTGCAATTATGCAGCAAGAAATTATATGCCTATGGTGACCAAAAGCTTGAGATGGTGGGTCAGTTTAAGTCAGAATTGGCTGTGGAAGAGACAAAGGTCTTAACACACTTAGTTGTGGTCAAACGAGGGTGGTGCCTGGTCGGATATTCAACAGCAACAGAACTGGGAATTCTCCACGTGGGTCCAGTACCTAACCCCATTGCTGAAAGCTGTAACACAGTCGGTTGCCCCTTTGTGGAAAGCCTCAAAGCTAAGTTTCCAGGTGTATTCAGTGGTGTTGGTAGATTGAAGAATTACCAGTTGAATCTGCACATCGACCCTCAAGTAATCCCAGTGGTCCAAAAGATGCGAAGAATTCCGTTTACACTTGAGGACAAAGTGACTGCCAAAGTTAATGAGCTCCTTGCGAACGACATTATTGAAAGAGTGGAAGGGCCTACAACATGGATAAGCCCAGTTGTTGTTGTGCCAAAACCGTCAGGGGACATACGCTTATGTGTTGAGATGCGTATAGCCAATGAGGCTATAGTGCGTGAGAGTTTGCCCATACCCACCGTAGATGAGGTACTGGAGAGTCTAAATGGAAGTACAGTGTGTTTTTTAAGCTTGATTTGCGTTGGGTTTTGATCAGATCGAACTGCAACCCAACTCGAGGGATGTTACTTCTTGTGCTACTGATGATGTAATTTTCCGATACAAGCGATTGAGCTTTGGTGTCAATGCAGCCCCGGAGAAGTATCAGCATATCATCACCCAGACAATGGCAGGTCTAAAAGGCAGGTCTAAAGGCCTCTTGACTAGACATGGGATCGGTCCATCTAAGGAAAAGATCAGGACCGTAGTCAAGGCTTCTGAACCACAATCCCAATCTGAGGAAGGAGGCCAGTCCAGTAGGACTTGGAGCAGTACTGGTACAAGAGAGGAATGGGGAGCGTCGTGCTGTTTGTTATGCCAGCCGCACCTTAAGCAATGTTGAACGCCGATACAGCCAAACCGAGAGGTAGCATTGGTCTTAGTTTGGGCTTTTGAGTGGTTTCATTTGTATGTTTATGGATTGCCCAAATTTGACCTTGTTACTGATCATGAAGCACTTAAAAGTTATTGACTCGAGAAAGTCTTAACCATCAGCCCGGATTGAGCGTTGGGTTTTGCGCCTTCAGACCTACAATTATCAAGTTTGCTTTGTGTCCTCAAGAAAGAATATTGCAGATGCCTTGTCAAGGCTAACGAAGATTGTTGCTTCAAACCAATCCCAGGATGATGATGAATACGTGCGCATGGTGGCATTGCATGCTGCACCAGCTGCCCTGGAGATCAAAGAAATTGAACGAATTTCACCCGAAGATCCTGAATTATGGGCCGTCAGGAAGTGCCTTGTTGAAGAAAGGTGGAACGGTGCTCCAAAGCAGTACCTCCAGTGCGCAATGAGTTAACGTTCATTGGTCATGTGATTTTGAGAGGAACAAGGATTGTGATGCCTTAAACTCTACGAAAGAGAGTCGTCAGCCTGGCACACAAGGGGCACCAAGGAATGGTTAAAACAAAGGAGAGACTCAGGACGAAAGTCTGGTGGTAGGGGATGGATCGGGATGCAGAAAAGCTGTGTTCGGAGTGTTATGGGTGCCAACTTGTGACCAAACATGTTCTACCCCCACCGGTGAAACCTACTCCTATGCCTCAGCGACCATGGGAAGATTTAGCTCTGGATATATTGGTTCCACTTCCATCAGGAGAGAATCTGTTAGTCCTGGTGGATTATCACTGCAGGTGGATAGAGGTTGACGTTGTCAGGGCAACCACAAGCAAGATAATTATTCAACGCCTCGATGCTTAGTTTGCGAGATATGGAATACCCAAGAGTTTGCGGACTGACAATGGCCCAAATTTAGTGTCCAACCAGATTGAGGATTATCTCAAAGACGACATACAACCCCTCTGTGGCCAAGGGCTAATGGTGAAGTGGAAAGGCAGAATAGAACACTATTGAAAGCTATCAGAGCGGCCCACGCGGAGGGGAAGAACTGGAGGGAAGAATTAAACAAGTTCCTGCTCGCATACAGGTCCACGCCCCACTCGACAACGGGGAAGAGTCCAGCAGAGTTGCTGTTTAGAAGAGTGCTAAACACTAAAATGCCTGAGTTGACGGGTTTAGATGACGAGGAAGCAGACATAAGTGACTAAGGAGTCAGAGACCGTGACACCCAAACGAGGGAAGCAAGCAAGGACTATGTTGACGAAAAGTTCCATGCGAAAGAGCGAGACGTGCGAGAGGGAGAATTGTTTCTGTTGGAGCAGAAGAGACAAAACAAGTTATCGTCATCGTTTAGGAAGGAGCCATATGATGTGATGACTCGGTACGGGGATCAAGTTGTGTTGAGGTCGGCGAATGGGGGGGAGTACAGGAGAAATATGCCGCATATTTAAACCCTTCAACATTCCAGACCATCAAAGGGCGGCATCACAGTCAGAGCTCGGATCTGCGTCTGCAACAGCTGCGTCTGCGTCAGCTACACAAGTTATGGCACCAACTTCGGTGACACCTACTGCAGCACCAGCGCCAGCAGAGATTCCAAGGATGTCTTTACCACCAGCAACGGTGGGAACACTCCCCAAGGTCCCAGTTTCGGGTGCTGAGCAGCCACCCCCTCTAAGGAGATCTGGAAGGGTTATCAGAGGTCCAGAAACATTGAGCGATTGTGTTTCGTATTAAGTCTAGTTTTTTTTTCTAAAGACTCAAGTCTTTCTATTGAACTCAGCTATGTTAATATTTACATTGCCATTTGGCAAGGACTTGGTTGATTGCATTTTTGTATTCTAAGATTGTTTAAGTCGAAACCAAGTATATTGTTTGAATAATCTTCATTAATGTAAGTTTATGTGCGAACGAAGAGAGAGAAAGTAGTGTACAGCGGCTTTATGAGCAAGAGTGCATAGCTTACAGTGTGATCAATTAAGCACAAAAAGAAAGGGGAATTGCTAGTCAGCTTACTTCTGACGAAACGTCCACATACTTCACATTCAGTGAAATACAAATCTCTCCAAAAGAGGAGATGGAATTTAATTCACTATTTAAATCATTAAGGCCAAATTACCAGCTAGAGTATTTAATCACTAAGAGAAAAAAAAAGGAATGTAATATTTGTTATGCATCGCGTCAAAATTTACCTTGGTTCAAGTTTATTTTCCTTTTACCAGAGAATGGTAAGGATACGAAAATGAGTTTTTGCAATAGAAACCAATGTAATTTGAGATCAGTGGCACTCTCCCTACTCCACGGAAGGCTTCAGGTTCCGTACTGAAAATTATGTGGTCTTCTGACTCAAACAAGCATATTCTCAACAAGCTACCGATTGTGGCTGGATAGAAGGAAAGCTTTCTACAGATATTGTAGTCCTCGTTCGTTATTCTTTAATGACACCTGAATTGTAAGAAATTTGTATCCTAACAAATTCCATTCTTGATGTAAATCAAAGAAGCTGTCTAGAGATTTGTTGCCAACTTGATGGGAATTTTCATATGATCACTTTTGATTATAGAACCAAGCTCTACCCGTAGTAATTTATTCTCAACGCATATCTATTGTAGCCGATCACGTTAAACTAGTTATGGGAGAAGTTTGCGACCGCCTAGGCAAAAGACGTGCGGCAAGGCTGGGTGAGGAGTGGTCACCGCCACCAGGGGAGGTTGGAGGTGCGCAAATTGTACCCAAGAGGCAATCCCGTCAAACTGTGAGATTTCATGCAAAGCAGCCGGATTTTATGCCGGAGGAGCAGCGTAGGATCACACCCGACGCTACCTAGCTAGACCCCTGGAGATTTGAAAAATTTAACATATTGCCGCGTCGCGCTCATCATATATGCAGTGAGAATAGAGCGTCGGACTTAGGGCATCTTAATTGCAACCAAGTGTTCAGCTAAGGGATCGGGAAGGCTTTTTGATTTGGCTGTCCCTTACGAATACAGTTTGCAAGGGCGCCCCCCGTGAGTTCATCCTCGTCCCTTTTCGAGACCCAGATGTTTGCTCGATGCTTTGGTTGGAGTATTAAGCTCTGGGGGTCTCCTTGTCCCGAGGGTATTTTTTCCGGGGCTCTGATCGCGGGAGGTCTGTCGGGAAGCGGCCATTTCTCGATTCGGAGGTCAGGAATCGCTTGCGTGTCCATCTCTCCGACGCTCAGTTCTGTGACGGGAAACACCCTACAGCTTCAGGGTCGGGCTTTCCAACACCCTTAGCCTGTTGGGCTGTTCTCCAGAAGAGATCGCCCTGTATTTGGCTTGGCAAAGTAGCGACATAGCCAGGAACTATGCGCACGTATCTCAAGCGTCCTGTAAGCTTAACCTAATGGAGTATGTTATGGCACTGGCCCCAACTGTTGTGCCACCATTTCTAAATTAGCCTGTTCCTGTCTAACCAATTTTAAATACTCCTTTATTAACAAGTGTGAGACTGGGTTAGAATAAGCGCAACGGCGTAAATTTTATAAATAGCGCGCAATTTCCTGATGGGGGAGTCTACCGAAACGGCCGTCAATCGACGCCGACATTCACAAACTTTCCTATCACACGCCCGTGTGTGCACAACGGTCCTGCCTGTCCCGTCCTTGCTAATGAGAAATTTAACGATGCCCTCGGTGGTAACAGAGGGTATGGACTTCAGGGGTGAAAGAGAGGNCGAGACCCAGATGTTTGCTCGATGCTTTGGTTGGAGTATTAAGCTCTGGGGGTCTCCTTGTCGCGAGGGTATTTTTTCCGGGGCTCTGATCGCGGGAGGTCTGTCGGGAAGCGGCCATTTCTCGATTCGGAGGTCAGGAATCGCTTGCGTGTCCATCTCTCCGACGCTCAGTTCTGTGACGGGAAACACCCTACAGCTTCAGGGTCGGGCTTTCCAACACCCTTAGCCTGTTGGGCTGTTCTCCGGAAGAGATCGCCCTGTATTTGGCTTGGCAAAGTAGCGACATAGCCAGGAACTATGCGCACGTATCTCAAGCGTCCAGTAAGCTTAACCTAATGGAGTATGTTATGGCACTGGCCCCAACTGTTGTGCCACCATTTCCCATCTGGGAAACGTCCAACCGATAGTTTAGTTACTTGAACGCTGTTCTTACTTACATAGTACGGGTTTCTTGGTCATTTAATTGGGTGTGGGGCTCTGAGTTATGCAAAGGGCGTCTGTAGAATTAAGCGGCTATACCACCTTTGGGTATGTGTTTCTTGTTCGTGTACGTGAGTTAGCGCCGCCCACAGTGCCGGCGGGGCGTAGTGGTTGTCGTGGGGCCGGGAGCGGATTTCTCCCATAACTTAGTTTAACGTGATCGGCTACAATAGAGATGCGGTAAGAATAAATTACTATTCCTAGTGAAGACAACCACGACAAAAATGTTAGCGTCTCTAACTAGGATGTACTTGCCTAACGAGGAAAAGCGGCGCGCTAGCAGCCATCGTCTTCCTAAAATGACTGACAAGTGACTTAAACTTTTCAAAGAATGGGGGAATTGCCTGCTTCGGAACAATCGCTAAATTAGCCTGTTCCTGTCTAACCAATTTTAAATACTCCTTTATTAACAAGTGTGAGACTGGGTTAGAATAAGCGCAACGGCGTAAATTTATAAATAGCGCGCAATTTCCTGATGGGGGAGTCTACCGAAACGGCCGTCAATCGACGCCGACATTCACAAACTTTCCTATCACACGCCCGTGTGTGCACAACGGTCCTGCCTGTCCCGTCCTTGCTAATGAGAAATTTAACGATGCCCTCGGTGGTAACAGAGGGTATGGACTTCAGGGGTGAAAGAGAGGCGAGGAAACTTGACAACTGCCGCTCCGGGGACGACTTTTGCTTCTGATAAGGCATGCAACTCGAGAAGGATCTGAACGCCTTGAAACGGCTGTTGACGGCCGACATGTCTAGCCCCGGCTGGACCGCCGAAACAATAGGGTCTTCCGTCGACGTACCACAAGCTTGACAGAAATTTGCGTCATGGTCGGTAGGGTAAAGGAAAGATGTGCACTGCCAGGCTGCTTTCCAGGGACGTGACCTACAGAACCGCCGCCCGGTTAGCTCAGTTGGGAGAGCGCCGGTCTGCTGAGCGGGAGGTCGCGAGTTCGAATCCTGGCCGGACCAACACTCAGGGTCTTAAAAATAACTTAGGAGAAAGTGCTGTCTTTGTAATGACATCTGCAAATGATTAGACTTTCAAGTCTTCTCGCATAAGGACGATAAACCGGAGGTCCCGTCTCACAAACCTTGTTCACATATAACTCTGTGGACGTTAAAGAACCCACCCACACACTATTCGAAAAGAGTAGGGGACGTAGTTCCCGGTGTTGTGGTCTATCTTCATCACTTACATCATCACTCATCATGGGTTGGGAGGGTTCAGTGGGCTCATAAATGGACTGATAGCGGCTGCCATCGGCGCCCTTAGTATGCTGATGTCCGAGCCCACTGCAGAAAGCTATGTAAAGAGGACATGTATGTTTGTCCTCTCAATCGCGACATTTACATTTACATTTACATTTACAGAAGAGAATTCCAAGCAGGTAATTTAATATGTTCTTCGGCAAACAACGGGCGCAAGTCAATAGACGCAACGGAAAGCCCAGAGGTCCCATTGAAGCGGTCTGGGGAAGCATCCCAAGTAATAGAACGAAAAAGCAACACCGAATCGTCACCCTTTTACCCCAGGAGAAATCGAACAAAGCTAGTGGCTTGTAATAACTCCCGCCAATACCGACGGGGTCGAATGTCTAACACGATTATCGTAAAATGAAGCTGAAAACGTTGGTCAATGAGAAAACGGAGGAGCGGACCAATAAGCACGAAGGGAGGAAAACATGAGGTTTTCCCCAACCAGCGACTGCTGTGCAAAGACGTTGATGCCAGACGAATCAGGGGTGTGGTATGGCGTGAAATGGGACAGACGACTGCCAAAGCGATCACGGCGGCAGTTGCTGTCGAGCGAATTCTGTGGCCCAAACACCCTCTGAACTCGAGACCACACTTCGTCAGAAAGAGTTCAATCGAGATCCGAATACTGTCGAGACGGAGCGTCAGCCAGGTTCTCAACTGGAGGGGCGTACTGCTACACCGTAAAACAGCCGTGAGGACTTCGTTTATCTGGAGTTACTCCCACCGTCGTTCTTCCACAAACCTAGTAGAGATTTGTTGTCGGTGTGGACATCAACGCGGGAGTCTCGAATCCTGGCTTTGAACGCATCCAAAGCACAGAACAAGGCCTTGGCCTCAAGAAAATTAATGCTGCCCGACTCGTCTTGAACAAAAATCCTGTGTTTCAATTCTGCCACTACGCGACAACAACACTCCTCTCCAAGCTCGTTTAGAAACGTCGCAATATAAAGAGACCGCGATGTGTTTTTCCGACCTCCAAGGCAAGCAACCTGCCCAGTCATCCAGGAATCGCCAATATTCCAACTCAGATCGGAGAAGACCGGTGACTTTAGTCGCCACCTTTGAATTACGCGCGAGATGGCCTTGAAGATTTCACAAGGTGCAATCTGCAACCGGCTATCGCGAAGCTGAAGGAAACGGCTTGTAGCGGGGGCAGAGGTGAGTCGATCGGTAAACAAACACAAATTTACTCTCTGACCACGCGAGGATAAGGGCCTTTACAACGATTTCCACCAAAAGCCAGTCTACTCTGTCATAATTCTTTAATAATGTGGCTTGGAATCACGTAAAAACTGAAATAACAATACAACGAAATATCTATAACTAACCAAAATATATCTGGACGCAAAAAATGGGGGCGTAACCCAACATAAAATTTACAATTAACGACTCAAAAGGTTTAAGGATAATCAGCAACATAATATGGAATACAATCAAACTACATGACGTGTGTAAATAAGGGATAGCGAAAACATACCTCTTTTTCCTATCTGAACTCTTTTAAAAACTCTAAAATAAACGTGTCTTTCTCTCTTCCAAATAACCTGTCTTTCTGAGTGTACGATTGTGTTGATTGTGTAAGATAATATCTGCGTTAATAACTGTTACATAACTACGACGCAGATGTTACGCAACGAAAAGTAACGTGATTATAGCAAATCACTTACATGGCTCCCCTAAATTGCATAGCAATTTATTCAACAAAACGATAACTAAAATGTCACTAAAATGTCCTTATTAAAGAGTCAATCATCAAAGTTAATCAGAGTATCTAGAGGGTGTAACGTCACTTTACAGCAGGGCTGTCTTTATGGCTCCTCTGGCTCTTCGGCTGGGAATCCCCGGTCCTCCTCACTGCGTGACATGAGAAGAACTAATCCATGAATGGGTCGGTCAAAGTAGGAAATAGAGGGCTTCTTTCTCGTGCCATTGGAGTCAAGAGATTGATCAGCAACTGCTAATTTTACCTTCCTCACATAACCGTCTTCATCCGGGTGGGCGGCAGCTACGCGAGCAAGCTTCCAAAGGTTTCTGGGTACGCTGTCATCCTTCATAACAACGATGTCTCCTTCTTGAAGGTTTCTTTTTGGTGAGGTCCATTTCTGTCGAACCTGAAGCGACTGCAGGTAACCTTTCTTCCAGCGCTGCCAAAACTCATCTGTCAGTTGCTGAACTCGGCGCCATCGTTTCCGTGAGTAAACATCAGCTCTTTGAAAGTTTCCAGGAGGGGAAAGGATGACCGACGATTTCATTGTGAGAAGATGGTTTGGTGTCAGTACATCTAGAGAATCTGGGTCCGTCAGATCATCAGTTGCGATTGGGCGGCTGTTAACTATTGCTTCTACTTCTATCATGAGAGTCCTCAGGGACTCATCATCCAATTGGCTTGCATGGTTCTGAAGTAAACCTGTTAGTACGCTTCTTACTGTGCGAATCTGTCTTTCCCACACGCCACCCATGTGGCTGGAGTGTGGAGCGTTCATCTTCCAAGAAAACCAGTCGCAGCCACTCTTTAGGAGTTCCCTGCGAATCTTGTCCTGGTTCATCTCACGGAGGGCTGCCTCTAATTCATTCTTCGCGCCTACAAAATTGGTGCCCTGGTCCGACCTTAGCTGCTGAACAGGACCGCGGCGACAAACAAATCGACGATACGCGTTCAAGAATGAGTCCGTCGTCAATGAAGAAGCTGTTTCCAGGTGGATGGCACGCGAAGCCATGCAGGTAAAGAGCACTCCATATCGCTTCAATTCCTTTCGCCCTTCTTTGATGTAAAATGGCCCGAAGTAATCCACTGCACTGAAGGTAAATGGAGCGACTTGTTCCAATCGGTCTGAAGGAAGATCTGCCATCTTCTGCTGTTGAGGTGCTGCTCTTAGTTTCCGACAGGTTACACATTTGGATATATGGTGGCCAACTATGGAGCTACCGTCCACTATCCAGAAGCCTGACAAACGGATTTCTGCGTGCGTTCGCGCTCGACCCTGGTGGCCTGTACGTTGGTGAAAATGGCGAACTATCAGGTCTGTGAGGTGCCCTTTCTTTGGTAACAAGACAGGATGCTTAACAACATATGCTAGACTGGTTTGAGAGAGACGTCCTCCAACGCGTAGGATGCCATCTTTGTCCAGAATTGGATTAAGGCGATGAATGGGGCTTGATCTCTTCGTCACCTTTCTCTCCCTGCCGTGTATCACACCTCGTTGTTCCTTCTTGTGGGTTTTCAAGGCCTTGACCTCCTCTGGAAAGGCTTGGCGTTGGACTTCTTTTATTAGCAGCAGCTCGGCTCTTTGGAGATCGTTGACTGTCACGGTAACGCCCTTTGAGGATCTTTCTTGCTGCTCGCTTCTAATGCCTTCAAGGGGTGGATCCACGTCGTTTCTTATGGCGGGATCTGAACGCTTCTTTGCACGAAATTTCATTCTTTCAATGAACAGCTGGCAAATTGCAATTGCCCTTTTAGTGCGATACCAGTCGGAAAAATACGCAATACGTTCAAGTAGAGATGAGTACTCCATGGCCTTGGTTGCCAGCACTGTCACTTTCTTAACTTCAGGGTCTTCCGGGGAAATCTGAGGTTCTGAAGCTGGTATTTCTAATTGTGGAATCCACAGGAAGTTTGGTCCATTCCACCATCTGTTGCTTTTGATCAGTTCTCCAGCTCCTAAACCTCTCGATGCGTCGTCGGCTGGGTTGTCTTTGGTGTCGACGTAGTGCCATTGGTCAGGGGAGGTGTGATCGCGAATCGCCTGTACTCTGTTAGCAACAAACGTATGGAAACGTCTTGCTTCGTTGGAGATGTATCCAAGGACGACCTTGCTGTCTGTCCAAAAGTATTCGGGAACACAACCATACTTCAATTCTTTCTGCAGGAAGGCACTTATTTTCGTCGATACCACGGCGGCGGTAAGCTCAAGCCTTGGCACAGTGACGGGCTTCAATGGCGTGACACGTGATTTGGCCATTACCAGGGAACAGTGCACTTTCTGTTGATCGTTCACCATTCTGACATAGGAGCACTGTCCGTACCCACCGATGCTGGCATCTGAGAAGCTATGTAGTTCGATGGACTTGGGTTCGCCAAAGTCGTCGGGCTTATAGCAGCGAAGAATCTTCAGCTGGGCCAAAGTGTGCAACTCACTCCTCCACTTTTCCCACCTGGTTCGAAAGACGTCGGGTATAGGCTCATCCCAATCAGTTTGGTTCTTGCAGAGGTCTTGTAGAATTTGTTTGCCTGTCAACAAAAAAGGGGCTACCAATCCCAAAGGGTCGTAGACTGAACTGACGGAAGCGAGAATCCCTCTTCTTGTTAAGGGCCGGTCCTTAAGTTCTACACGGAACCTGAGTTCGTCTGATTGGACGCACCACTGAACTCCTAGGGCTCTTTCGATGGGGAGAACATCCTTGGCAAGATCCAGCTCCTTTATACCACTTGCTCGCTGTTCCTTGGGAATGCCTTCAATCACGTCCTTACTATTAGATATGAATTTGTGGAG